AGTGATGAGGAGCCAGTGGAGACTGGCCAGAACTGGTGAGATGTGGGTACAGAGTTTTGCCTGGGCCAGTATGTGAGCGGCACAGTTTTGAATGAGCTGAATCTTGTGAATGGTGGAGCTGGGGAGACCGGCGAGGAATGCATTGGCGTAATCCAAGCGGGAGGTGACAAATGCATTCACGAGGGTTTGGGCTGCATTTGGGGTAAGGTACAATTGGAGGCAGGCAATGTGGCGGAGGTGGAAGAAGGCGGTCCTCAGGGACCGGGTGTGGGGGAGGAAGAACAGCTGCAAGTTGAATCGGTTGCTTAGATTGTATACTGGTTCAGTGAGTCTGAGGGAGAGCCCAGGGAGGTTGAGGAGTTTAGATCCACAGGAGTGAAGATGTTGACGGGAGCCAAGGAGTATGGCTTCCGTCTTGTCCACATTCAGCTGCAGGCAGTTTACACTCATCCAGGCCTTGATATCTGCCAGACAAGCTGATAGAATATCGGCGGACCTGCAGGTGGTACTGGAGAAGGCAAAGTAGATTTGTGTGTTATCCGCATACATGTGGAAGTTTACCCCGTGTCTGCGGATGACATCACCCAGAGGGAGCATATAGATAAAGAAAAGAAGAGGGCCAAGGATGGAGCCCTGGGGTACCCCGCAGGAGAAACCATTTGCTGAGATGAAATGGAGGCGGTTGGAAATGGAAACAATACAGCATGATGGATGCAGCAGGTGAAAAGCAATTACTATATTCCTCAGCAAGTTGGGGCTGTTTGAGGGTTGGATCAGCTTTCAGAGGAAAGAAGTGCAGGGTAGAATCGAAAGGAGAAACGAGAGGAAACACAGGACAGAATAGAGTGAGGGTAGAGAGAATACCAGGTAGAGGAGAAAAGAGACAAATTCATACATTTTTCCTAATTAAACCAAGTATTGACACCAGAACTAATAACTAATGTGACTTGTTGTTGCATTACCAATGAACAGCACAATGAGATCAACTCCACAAAAAAGTGTGCAATTCTCTTCATGCGACATAAGGTCTAAATTGATCCGCCTTGGAACATCCTCTTAATGTGAAAGCCGCTATACAAATGTAATTTGTTGTTGTAGAGCTTTCGAATGAGAACAAAATCTAACAGAACAAATATTTAAAACTTTTTTGCTTACAAAGCAAAGACATCAGACTACTTTGAACTGATGGATGAACAGACCAATGGACAGAGAAACAGACGAATAGATGGATGGACTGACAGACAGAATCAATCATTCTTTGGAAGGCAATTAATATTTTCAACAACAACAAGATTCCATTTATTCAAGCTCTGCCATTCATAATAATAATCGTTGCATTTGATATAGAGCCTTAGCACATCTTCTAGATGTCTCAAAGTGCTTCACAGAATATACTGTAAAGTGAATTGACTGTATATTTTGTGAGTGAAACACGACAGCCAATTGCGCTCAACAGTGTCCCACAAACAGTCATGGATTGAAGTAACCACCGAGCTACGGTGCTTGATAAGCAACAACAACTTGCATTTGTATAGCGCCCTTCAAGCGGGGTAGCGTCCCTGAGTGCTAAGCACTCCATTAAGCAACTCTGTGTGACAGGTGCTTTACAAATGAAAGTTGTTGTATTAACAGACTAAACAGCCAAAGCTGGTGGTGGTTAGGGCCTCATGTCTCACACCACCTCCTGTTTAACATTGGGTTAACAAGGATTTTCATATCCTTCTCGGTTCATCTCTCTCCTGCAGCTCTTCTTCTGCTCTTTCCATCCCTCTCTGGTTATCAGTTCTGCAGCTCCTTGCCTCTCCCAGTGCTCTCTTCTTTGACTTTGTGCTACTAACCTCGCTGGTTCAAACAGGATGCCCTGACTAGCAAGGATAAGTGAGATTAGCTCCTCATATTTAGTCCTTGTGTAACACAGCACCCTATNAAAAACCTTTCAATCACAGTAAAAGGCAGCAAAAATATTTTTGAAGTGGTGGTTAATGGGTATTTCTCGAAATGGAAGGAGGTGTGCAGCGGTGTCCCCCAGGGATCAGTATTGGGACCACTGCTCTTTCTAATATATATTAATGACCTGGACTTGGGCATAGAGAGCACTATTTCCAAGTTTGCAGATGATACAAAGTTAGGTAGGGTAGTAAATAGTGAGGAGGACTGTAACCAACTGCAAGCAGACATACACAGAATGGTGGAATGGGCTGACATTGGCAGATGGATTTCAATGTGGATAAGTGTGAGGTGATACACTTAGGTAGGAAAAATGATAGGAGGCAATATAGACTTGGTAGCTCAATCTCAAGGGGGGTGAACGTACAGAGAGATCTGGGTGTTCGAGTAAGCAAATCATTAAAGGTAGCGGGGCAGGTAGATAAGGCAGTAAGAAAAGGCATTTGGTGTACTGAGCTTTATTAGTAGGGGCATAGAGTATAAGAGTAGGGAGGTTATGGTTAATCTATACAAAACACTGGTTAGGCCTCAGCTGGAGTACTGCATCCAGTTCTGGGCACCTTACTTCAGGAAGGACATTAAGGCACTGGAAAGGGTGCAGAGGAGATTCACGAGAATGAAACCAGGAATGGGGAACCTTAGCTATGAGGACAGGCTGGAGAAGTTAGGACTTTTCCCATTAGAGCAGAGAAGGTTACGCGGGGACCTGATAGAGGTCTTCAAGATCATGAAAGGTTTCGACAGGCTAGATAAGGAAAAGCTGTTTCCGCTGGTAGGTGTGTCTGTGACCCATGGTCACAGTCTTAAGATATCCACCAAAAGAAGCAGAGGGGAGGTTAGAAGAAATGTTTTCACTCAGCGAGTTGTTCGAATTTGGAATGATCTGCCTGAAAGGGTAGTGAAGTCCGATTCGATAACAGCTTTTAAGAGAGAACTGGATAGGTATCTGGGGAAGACGGGTTTGCAGGGTTATGGGGAGAAAGCTGGTGATTGGGGTTAGTGAAAGTGACTTGCTCTGTCAAAGAGCCGGCACAGACTCGATGGGCCGAATGGCCTCCTTCTGTGCCGTAACATTCTATGAATCTAAAAGTTAATAAAACTAATAGCACCAGAGTATATTGGGCAATGGTGAATTACAAAAAATAAAACACTAGTAGCATAGATTACAAAGCTTACTGGTCCTGATCACGAGAAAGAACGTGGGTTGATTTTACACCAACCCCTCAGCCCCTCCTTAACTCAAGAGCAATGAGGCCAATTCTACTGCCTCCACAGCTACAATCAACGACAATAAAACAGTCCAGGGATGCAATCAGAAACATTTTCACAGCAGAAACACCATAGCTGACGTTCAGTGGGAACACCTGAACATCACGCAGTTTAAATTATAATGACCACTGAATTTGATGCAGTGTCTATTGAAACATTTCAATTTGCTTCACAGTAATTACTATTATGTATAGTATCTGTGTAATTCTAGGCAAAAGCAATAGTTATTTTGAAAATATGTATGTCCCATAAACAGCCATTAATTTAGTAACCATTTTTATAATAATACTCCTTGCATTTGATATAGCACCTTAACAGCTCCAAACATCTCAAAGCAATTTACAGAGTGTAAAGTATAGTAGCTGTATTTGTAAATTAATGTCTAGGATGATTGTTGGCTGGTCCAATGGGAAAAACTCCTTGTGTAATTGATTCTTTAATTCCACTTGAACAGACAGACTATCTAATGTCTCATCTGAAGGATAGATTCTTATCAAACTAACAAAGATTGATTGAAGACAACATGTTAACATTAACCATTAAATCAGTGGTTCTTCACGCACAAAGCAAGCACCGAGATTTTTAATACTCTGATCATTAAAAGCAGCAATTGTTTTATTAACTCTGTAAAATGAGAAATTCTATTATTAACATTGGATTGAACATTTTTAATAACTGGAGTAAGATAAATCCCAAAACCTGCAGCCACACAGAAGGACATGAGAACACATTAAATGAGGCCAAGGCCATTCAACCACAATAACTTGCCCTTCTCAGAGTACTTAACTGTGGTGAAGCTTGATACTGAGCCAGGGAGAGGGTTTGGACAAGTGCAAAGCCTATGTACGAACATCTCTCTGCAGGTGTTCTTCAGAGAGGAGTTTCGGTGAGACTGGAGAGAATACTGAGGTACAGTTGTAGAAGAAGGTCTTCATGTGTGACCTGAAGATGGACCAGTAGGAAACAAGGTGGAGGGATTGAGGCAGAGAGTTCCATAGTTTGGGGGCATAGTGGCTGAAAGCACAGATACTGATGGTGGAGTGGATGGGACGAGGGACATACAAGAGGCCAGAGCCATCTGAGCGAATGAGTGAAGGGAGCAGTTAGATGAGCGCGGTATGAACAGGTCAGCAAGGTAGGGAGGTGCCAGCGCATGAAATCATTTGTAAATGAAAATCAGCATCTTAAAGAAAGGTTCTGCACAATTTTCCCCGATTTCAAAGATAATGAAGCAAAACTCAGAAACATCCATCCATTCCTATATCTTGCCTACTCAACTGTGTCTGCTCGTTTTCTACTGAGGACATCTCTTTAGTGCTGATCTTTGGTGCCATTAGCAGTCGGGTGCCATTAGCAGTGGAGGTGAGGCCACATTCAGTGCAGTCATCACTCGTTTGCCATGGTAAGGAAACTTATTTAGTTTAAAAGTATTTATAATGATGATGACATACAGGCAGTCAGAATGTCAGCTGGCAATAACCTCTCCCTTCAGGCCAGGAAGTTAATTGTTAGCACAGTTTTACAAAATACCACAAGGTGAGAAGTTATTGCTCTAGTGAAATGCTTTCCTAGGAGCTGCTGCTGAGAAAACCAGGGCATTTGAGCTTTATCTACATCACAACAGAAGAGTGCGATGAACTTATCCTGCGGGGTGCAGATAGGAGGGAAACAGATGCCGCACTGTTTAGTATTGCTAGACTGGATAACAAGAGGAAGCATTTCCATGGCAACAACATTATCAGCATCCTCCATATTTCCTCTAAGAACAATCTACTCAAGACAACGCAGGGAAGGGCTATTCACTGACTGCGACCTTGGCCCTGTTTTCGTATGAACATCAAAAATGCTTTCCGGGTAGCTCATAAAGTTACGTTCAACTTCACAGAAAGCTCTCAATAGCGAGTGGATCGACCTGGATGGCTCGGCAGACATGTGGAGCTGTGCCACCCTGCTCCTTCTGTCTTTCGTGCCCTTGGCACTGAGTTTGAACACGGCAGCTAAAGCCAACGTGACGAAGGGAAGACTGGTCTACAACTTTGCTAGAAACTTTCTGGGTTTGGACAAGTGCAATGCCTGCGTAGGAACATCTCTCTGCAGGAAGTTCTTCAGGGAGGAGATTAGGTAAGACTGGAAAAATACTGAGTGTGTTCCCTGTGATAAACTCCACAGAAGGTAGGAGAGATGATCGCACTCAGAAACGCTGGGGTTCAAAAAGTGCTAGATCACGAAATTGCAACACAACGGTTGCAAAAAGCACCTCATGACAGAACCTCCCGTGCATTACGTCAATCTGACTCGCTGGACTTTGTCTCCAAGATCTCCTCAGAGCCAAAGGCACATGAGTTGGAGTGACGAACAGGGGCTCCCTGCAGAAAATAAAGATTGTATTCGATTGTGTTTTCCAAGTGCTAAGTGGTGGGTACACCATTCGAGTGGTTTTGAACTTCACTGTAAATTGGTTAATAACATATCTGTAAGGAAAACATAATATAATGCCTTAGCACGTCATCAAAACATCTCAAGGCTCCTCACAGGAGTTTACTGTGTAGTGTAGTGATTGTGTAATTGTGGGCATACGTAACAGCAATTTTCTCACAGTGATATCCCACAAACAGCCATGATAGATTTTATCTGGGAGTTTGTGGTTCAAGACACCAGCAGAAACTTCCTTCTCTTTCCAAAAAGTGCCATGGGATCTTTAAGGTCCACCTGAACAGATAGAAAAGTTCTGTATGTATGTATGTATGGATGTGTGTGTGTGTGTGTGTGTATGTATGTATGTGTGTATGTGTGTATGTGTGTGTGTATGTGTGTATGTATGTATGTATGTGTGTATGTATGTATGTGTGTATGTTGTGTGTGTGTATGGTGTGTGTGTATGTGTGGTGTATGTATGACAAAAACAGTTTAAAATATGCAGCATTGGTTTAGCACCAGCATAAACTCAATGGGTCCAATGGCTTCTGTCTTTGTTGTAATTTCAATGATTGTATCAGTTTGAAGAATGGGGTGAAAGCTGAAAAACATTCAAACGCTAATATTCTCTGCAGCTTGACTCTTTCATATCAGTTGAGGCTTGTTGCACTTTGGCGTTTCAATCTCCTTTGCCCAATTGAAAAGTTCTGAAAGATACAGTGATATTGCTCGTGCTTAGATTGGGGGTCACCTTATACTGAGCAAACACGGCAGATTCAATCTTCTGAATTTAAGAGCCCAAAGTCCTGTACCTTATATTTAAACACAATGTTCTCTGCTTTGATCTATTTTAATGAAATGTTCACTTGGAATGTAATGGCACCACTTTTCTCGTTGATGCTAGTGCAAATTTCCCTGGAGACAAAGTTGTAGTGGTTTTGGAGACATCAGGTTGTGGCCCTAAATAACATTGGTTGCTCACTATGTGACTGTTTGTGGGACATTGCTGTGTGCAAACAGGCTGTCGCGTTTTGCCCACAAAAATACACAGTCAATCTACTTTACAGTATATCCAGTGAAGCACTGTCAGATGCCTTAATGATATAATAAGGTGCTATATCAAATGCAAGATTATTATTATTAGAAATATCTTTAAATTCGCCTCAGTTTCTACACGTGCTTGAATAGCAATAATTCTTTTTTTCAAAAATACTAATTTCTTAGTATAAATAAAGTTTGAATACTGAACGTAGTTATGTCCTAATATTATACTCTTCTCTATTAACTTTCACTTTGGTAGAAGTACTTTTGGTCCTTTGGTCTTTTGCTCCTAGATCTGTGATCCAAACTGCTATTATTACAGATTCGAGAAATGGTTGTCCTCAGATTTGAAGCTACCTCCCAGCTACAAGAAGACTTACTCTGCAAATTACACTTATGATATTGATAGCTGGAGGCCTGTTGTCATCTCTCGGATACAAAGCAGATCCTGGGATGAAAATTCTGACCAGAAAATATGCATCTCAGCATCGATGGATGTCACCTGCAGCATTGAAAGGGTCTTGAGAAACACGGATCGTTTCCAGAAATGGCTGAAATCCGATCGCCTCACCCCTGAGTTGGTTCAAGTAGGTTAATCCAGCTCCTTTACCAAAAAGATTGCTTCCAAGATTGTCCAAAGTATCAGACCCCAAATGAAATGGCTGGAGATGCTTCAGGACATGCACAGCCACTCTTTTTGTACAGCGGAAGAATCACTGACATGCCTGGTCATTAAAAGGCCCATATAATAACGTAGGACTTGGGTTACCAAGGACCAAATAGTCTATTCTTGAAGAATTTTGCATTGACACCACAAATATAAGGAGAAAGCGAATATTTTAGAAATGCAATAATTTCACGTTTTTATCAAGAAATATGCTAAGAAATACAACAACAACAACAACTTGTATTTATATATCCTTCACACCGGACATTGCTTAACAATGGCAGAGCCCGATGCTGGGTCATGGGAAGGGGGAAGGTGACTGTAGGTATGGTCACAGAGGAAGGTCTTCAAGCGCAATGTGACAATGGGGAGAGAAGGGGCAAGACAAGGGGATTGAGGGAGAGTTTCACAACTTTGGGACGCAGTGGCTGAAAGCACGGCTGTGATGGTGGGGCAGAGGGTCTGGGAGACAAGGAGGAGGCCGGAGCTAGTCGAGCGGAGGCAGCAGTTACTAGAGTAGGGAGAGAGCCGGTTGGAGAGATGGGGGGTGCCGGTGCGTGAAGGGATATTGCAAATTAAACCTCATAGAATTCAGTGTTAATAGATGAGTTCATACAGGTTTCTCTTTTGTACTGAAAATGCACAGATTTTGTACGGTTTCTCTTTCTAACCGTAGGGTCTCTCCAGCCCCCTGCTGCGATGTCCCTCTCAGCGGCTGTTGGACCGGATTGTGCGGCGTTACGCTGAAGTCCGGGACTCTGGCAGTGTACTGATGCGGGGCTTCACTGACCGCAATAGACTACGACTGCTCTACACGCTGTCTGTCAGCACACACCCCATCATGCTGCAGGTACAGCCAACAACAGCCATTGACAATCAACACCTGAAATTCCTCTATCTGTGAAAACACGGGCACAAAGTCGGTTTAACAAACTTCCTGAATTCACAGAGCTGCGTGACTGTCTGTAATTTCTCAGTGTTGAGTGTGGCAGTGGTCATTTTGCCACCAGTCATGAAAATGATTCAACTTGTCCAGAATAGTAAAACCAGAGGACACGGGCTGCAATTGAAGGGAGGTAAATTCAGAACGAATCTATGCAAAAACTATTTCAGTGAGCAAATAGTAAACCTGTGGAACAGGCTCCATGGGGAGACGGTTGAAGCAGGAAATGTTGATTCTTGGGATATAGTGCATAGGTAGTTTGAGACATGCGACCACTAGGAAGGTGGAAGGCGAACTAGATGGCTCTTGGTCTTTTTTGGTCGAGCATTTCTTATTTTCTTATGTTGTTATGAAATGTTATGGGGGAGAGGGACTAAACAAGTTGCTCTTTCAGATAACCAGCAAAGGCACAATGGGCTGAATAGCCTCCTGAAAAAATCTATGATTCTATGATTTGACTTTCTCTGTAGTAGAAATATGGACAATTATCTCTTTAATAACTATTTAACAAGACCATAACAGGATCAGTTTTTACACTTGATATATTTAATGTAACAATTTTGCAAGTTATACAAAACATATCAGCACAAACGTGTGATATTTCACCCTGTTTAATCCCATCACTCACATGAGAGAACAGAAGAATTCCAACCCCTGGATATTACAGTTTTCTGATTTGCTCATTTACAAAAATGGCCAATGAAATTTTCTGCTATAATCTACTTTTATCCTAAGATCAAGATATAAATGAAGTATAAATAAATAGTATTATACTGAGCACGATGGGTGATTGGAGATATTGGAAAGTGGATTCAGGATTTTGTAAATCAATACCTGGCTGTTGACTTGGATAGCACAAGAATTGCAAACCCACTGGTTCAGAATATGTCTCTTAATTGCCGGAAAATAGTTTTTTAGAAGACATCTTTGAATTGAGAAGAATTATTTAATTAAAAATGAAGATCACTGATGTAAATTATATTGTTGGTTTCTGGGTATCAGTCAGCCAGATGTATATGTGTACCTTGTACACTCACCATCTCAAGATATTAAGGAAGGGGAAAGATGCCAGGTTTGAAAATCTTAGCATGAGGATGACTGGGACAAAAAACAGCAACGGAATTCTGGCTCACAATGTTTGTCTACGAATAAGCAGTCACTACACTTGCCAGCAATTACTTATAAAGCTCTTTAAGGTGTTTGACATAATAGGTGTTATATTAAATGCAAGGATTATTATGCATCATCATTATTAATTCTGATTATTAGAGTTTATTTGAAATATTTCACAAACCTAATTAAATCTAACCACTGTGCTGTATGCCATTTGTGAAAGAAGACAAGAACCAACTAACAATTTAAAAGATTGCTAAAAGCTACAAGGAAATGTTACTGTCACAGATTACAGCTCACAAATTCTAACAAAATGTGTTATTCCCAGCTTTTTCCAGGGACAGAAGGATGGCCCTTCCCACGATATTTTGGATCCTGTGGTCGTGTGTTTGTGACAGCATGGACAACATCCATACGAGAATTTTATAATGCACCTCCTGATGTTACTGCTGACATCGCCTACCAGCTCCTGCGTATCACCCATTCCCTGGGATATAATGATCTCAACTATTTCCTTTACTACACCAGTGTTCACAGTAACATGTTCGGCACATTCGAAGATGGGCGCCTCTACATTACAGACACCAGCAAAATAGGCATCATCGACAAGCAGGAAGGTAGGCAGTGTTTGTTCAATGCAATGGGCTACTTTTAAAGTTTATAGTATTGCCCATAATTATTGTAAAAAGTGCAAATTTTTGTGTGCTCCTGTGATCACTTTTGTAGGAGTGATTTTCTATAATCCATAAGGTTTATTTTTGTACGTATTTTTAGTTTGTTATCTTCACCTTGACTCCCCCACAATAGCGGGTTGTAGTCCCACACTGAATGTACACTTGCAACCTACTCCTCTAGCTTCCATTAGGAGTGTGATAATTGCTTGGATATTTCTTTCATTCCCTCTGCAAAGTGCCTTACTTCTACTCGAACGTGGGTATACGCATCAGAGAAATATTACATAAGGCATGTTGTAACACCAAAATATTTTATTTAGATAGTGTCAGTTTAGTTACAGTTAGAAGGAAGTTAAAGAGAATTTAGATGTTGGCACACAAATGTGGTTACAGATAAATTTACCTGTTCCAGTGGACTTTAAAGGTCCCACAAAACTATTTGAAAAGGCAGTTTCTCTCATTGTCCCGGTTAACAATCCTCCAGATAAAGTGGTCATTTACTTCTTGGCTGCTGTGTGACCTTTTGTATACAAGTCAATTGCTGGGTTTGCCTACAGTGTAATATACACTCGCTACTCTTGACAGCAATTACTCTTCAGGACTTTGAGATGTATTGCAGTTTTGGCCACTTAATCTGAAATCCAAAGATTATTTTTGCCAGTTATTAATGGGCCATTGTATTCAAAATGAAGGTTTGGCATATTTTGTTTGCGGAAGCAGTGGAGACAGGGGAGCCATGACTTATTGACTTCTTAGTGCCAGATGCAGGTGAAACCAGTGCTTTCTGGTGTGATTTATGTCACTTTAGTCTACTTTCGAATAAAAATAATTTGCCAAAGTGTGAATGAATGAAAACGGTGACATGAGCCCAGTCCTTGATCCTACATCCAGTACCAAATACATTGAATTAGTCAGTTTAATAGTAGCACTCTCGTCTCTGAGTCAGAAGGTTGTGGGTTCAAGCCCCACGTCAGGACTTGAATTTACATTATTTAAGATAACACTCCAATGTGCTGCCGGGGAGGTGTTGTATTGTCAGAGGTGCATCCTTTGGTTGAGATCTTACACCAAAGTCCCATCTGCCTGTTCAGGTAGATGGTAAAGATCCCATGGTACTATTCGAGAAGGGAAGAAAGTTTCTCCTGGTGTCCTGGCCAACAGTCCCCCAAATAAAATTGGTTACTCACTCCGTTGCTGTTTGTGGGACATTGCTGTGTGCAACCTGGCTACCGTGTATCGTCCACAAAATACACAGCCAATCCTCTTTACAGTATATCCTGTGAAGTGCTTTGAGACATATCGATGACATGATAAGGTGTTATATCAAATGCAAGGATTATTATTATGTTAGTTTTATTTTGGCTAATTGGCATCCTTTTTCAAAAGATCGTTGTGATTTACTCCACTTCTCTGATCACATACAGGCTTCACACAGACTAGGGTGTTCTTAAAAAATAACTCAGGGCTGACAGATATTTGTTGATATGCGATTGAATAAAATACACAGGTTTGTCAGGTTTTGCCCACAAATACACAGCCACTCACTTCACATTGTATCCTGTGAAGTGCTTTGGGACGACCTCCTGACGTGAAAGGCCCTATGCCAAATGTAATGACTATTATTATTAGAAGATACATAAATGTGATTTTCGATGTGTCTGATCCAGAATTGCCAATCAGAGCAGGACACAGCGAAGTGCGATTCTTGCTCACCTGTTGGGTGTTACTGTGTGAGGTACTCAAAGGCTGCTTTGTCTCTTGACCAGATGGAGCTGCCAGTCAGTCAAGCCTCCTACTGAAATTAGCACATGTTTTGACAGGATTTGGCCAGGCTGTTTAGCAGGAGGATAATATCTCTGTGAATCTTTCTGTTCAAAGCAAGGGACTCACTATAGGGTAAAAGTTAGTCCTGCCAAAACCACAGTTTCACCTGCCTTCTCCACACCCTAGAATAGAACATGGAGCAACTGCAGAATTTTAGAGCTTCTTATGTTTCAGATATCTCAATGTTTTACAGGCAACTATTGTCAAGTGCAGCGACTTGTTTTCATAGTGCCTCTAAGAGAGTGAGGTTGGTATCCCTGCTAATGAGTAGACAGAACTAATTATAACAATATAATAATCTTTGCATTTGATATAGCACCTCATCACGTCATTAAGACGCCTCAAAGCTCTTCACAGAATACTGTAAAGTGAATTGATTGTATATGTTGTGGGTAGAATGTGTGTTACTGTTTGCTACATTCCTGAATGGTGATTTGAACATGGGCACTGACTGGTGGTGCCTGACACACTGCAATTTCACACTCATTAAGAGCATACGCTGACTAATGCAAATACTTCACATGGGAGGAGAGGAACTGTCAAGTCACTCATCAGCCCGTCTCCAGGGATCAACAACACATTGAGCTGCACTTACAGATATCCACAGCTTGGATGACCTCAACCTGAGGCAAATGGAACCTATGGGTTTGATTATTTGGTGTTGTCGGCCAAACATAAATCAGATACATTTATTTATAATAAAATGATGATCTGTCAGGTTGGTTTTACATCTTTACGAATTGTTTATGAATGACCTATTCATGTGTTACACTATGTTTCTGCAGAGAAGGAATACATTCATGAAGTACCCCAAGAAAAAGACATTTTCTCCTGTCTGACTTCAGACTGCGAAACAGACCTTACTCCTTGTGGGACGGTCAGTGAGGCACAGAGCCTTGTCATGGTGTGCAGGGACATCCTGCCTCCCTTATTAGCAGGTAAATTCAGCGACTCTCCATCTCTCCAGAAAAGAGTAGACCGATCTCTGAGCCTCTGCAGTGACAAGACATTCCCTGCCAAGGTTACCATCGAAGCATCCAATCAACTTATGGAATTGTTAAAATCCTTGCGAACTTGTGATCCCCGCTTTGCCTATAGATACCCCGAATGTAAATACGTGGAAGGCTACTGATGTCCAGTTCACTCTCAACTGTGCTTTATTGCCTGCAGGAGGAGCTCCTGAATCTACAAAGGACTACGCTTGTTTGAATTGAACAATAACAAATTATATTTGTATAGCGCCTTTCATGTTGGGAGGACGTCCCAAGTCGCTGGACAGTCAAAGATTTGGAGCCAAGCTGGGGCTTGGGATCAGGAGGGGTGGAGGGTAGGGGTAGGAGATTAAATGACATTTGATTGAAGGGATTGACTGACATTTGTATAACCTGCCTTGGCTCTTACCGCATTCGCCTGAGATTATTCATAGTGAACAGTTTACCAGAGAGGCATGGCACAAACATAATGTTTTTATGTATTATGCACAACTTGATTTTTTAAATTCCTGTCAATCCATCTTTGTGTGTATGAGACCCAATGGAAACATTACTTTTCAGAGAAATAGTTATAAAAAGATGGCCCAACCTCCACACTGTGTTAAATGATAATTTTATAATCTACTGCACCAACTTATTCTTTTTCAAGAACTCAAGACTTAACTAATTACAGTTTGGGGCCCGACATGTCAAGTGACTGCCAGGATGGTGGAAGCTGAACTAGATGGACTTTGGTCTTCTTTTACCTAGAAAATTCTTATGTTTTAACTCCTAACCTCCCTCAGTCATTCCTTCTTCCTACAATTCAACAACAACAACAACAAATTGCTTTCTGCAGCACCTTTTCTGTCGGAGTGATGTCCCAAGGCACTGGACAGTGAAGAGTTTACACCCAAGCTGGGTGTTGGTGTCAAGAGGGGTGGGGGACAAGGGGGTGGAGATGGGAGGATGACCAAAGAGTCAAAGAGGATGATCAGGTAGTCTTCACAAGATTTAAAGACAAAGCTTGGTATTATGTAATAACTTTGTCACCCTGTCTCCTATTCTTTTCTACCTTGGTTATGTCCTGTACTATGGGCCTTGGCTGCTCAATAGGTTTTTTCTAAATTAAAATATACATCTGTAATAGATAAATAGAAACAATGATTCTGCTTTCATACATAAATAGAAGATGATATAACGATGGAACACCTAGGGAGAAAGTGAAACAGACTCTGGAAGATACTGAAAACATACATAGAATTATCTCATGGTCAAGAGGATACTTCACCCACAGTGGGAATGAAAAGCAAGTCCATCTTTTTGGTTATTAGATCCAATGTTCAATTTGGGACAGGAATCTGTGAAATACAGATTGAAGTAACACCCCGAATGTTTACACATAGGCAAGAGATACAATGCTGCAACCTAGCCCCACAATGAGCCATTACACACCAGCGGGTTGCAGGCTTGATTCAGCGGGATGGTCTATGCTGAATTTACTATTCTCAGCCAGGGCAGTAGATAGAACACTGCAATTGACATGGGGGTGGTGTGGGGAGAAAGGGAGATATCAGCTGGGTTTCCCGCTTGTGATCACTAATGGGTGACTAATGGGTGACTCCTGCTAGAAAGGGTTAGGGTTGGGTTTGGCTGCGATGTGCTCAAATGACGAATAGCTGCCTCAGATGTGACAGTAACTGCTGTTTGGGTGAGGTACTGGATGTTGCGCAGCGCAGATGGGAATTGTTCTCTAGCAAGTCATTGTCTTCAATAAAGGGAGGGGAGAAAAATAAAATCATTAGCTGGGACAGTTAAGTGAACAGTCCATTAACTGCTGTCCGACACAATGCTGGTGATCACAGATTGGAGTCCCAGTGCTCTGGGCTGTATAGCAGTGAGCTGGGGCTGCAGTCATGAGTTGAGAGTTTTGAGTGCTTTGCCAGGCTTCTGAGCAGAATTCCTCATGACAGCACAGTGTCTCAACTCAGCAGGAGGAGAAGCTAATGTTGGCTTTGCTCAGCTGCACTAACAGCTCAGCTCAACCTGGCACTGGCTGGAGCTGGTCAATTGTGCCTCAGCTTGGAAAGACAAGTGAACCATCGCACAATGACTGCGGCTAACCAGGCTGAACTTTCCATTAGCTTACAGGCAGACGCACAAAAGAGCTCTGACAACAGCCTGTGCTGACAACATGTTCTCCTGAGCGGAAATTATTGTATTGTTCTGCATCAAAGCTCCTCCCGTGGGGTCAAAAGAACCACTGACAGAAATTAAAGGGCCACTGTCCTCATGAAAAACACAGGCACGCATCAGAAAATAAACCCTACAGTACATCAAAGCCCATCTCACGTCAAAAATTCAACAGTGTGCTTTTAAACACTCTCGCCTCTGAGTCAAAAGGTTGTGGGTTCAAACCGCACAGCGGAGCTTTGAGCTCACAGTCTTGGATGACATTCCAGTGTAGTGCCAGGATAGCATTGTATTGTTGAAGTGCCATCCTTCAAATGAATCGCTGAACTGAGGTGACTGTTCGATTCTGGTGGATCCACAATACTTCTCCAACCTCTCACCACTGCTGCACCGTATCACACTGTTTCATTGCTAACTGGAGAGGAGGCAAGATTAAAGATTTTTTTTTGGTCAGCCAGGTGTCTGACACACCCAAAAACCCATCATCAGGTTTAAGAGTATCCAAACCAAGCTGAGATTTCCATGCATCGCACCTACACATGGAAATCCCAGAGATAGATTGTTGGAATGGAATGTGCTCTCTCGCCCTGGGGGAACGCATCCTGCTTACCTAATTCCTGAAAGTATTAGGTGCAGGATGGCAAGAGACCCCAGAGTGTGCGTTGGGGGGCACTGCTGGAGTCTAACCAGCTAAAACCGCAATGCTCGCCATTGATATTGGTGCCTGGCAAGCTTTTCTGCTGCTTGTCCAGCTAGGACTACCCTACCCTCTAGGGCTTTGGCTTGCAGAGTTAACAGGAGCTGAGTGGGATGACTCCCTGCCCCCAGTGATTGGTCTGCTCTTCTTGGTCTGCTGATGAGCCAGGCTGCCTGTATGTCATCAGCAGTGCCCTGAAATACTGTGGAACTGCCAGTCTCAGGAACTAGATTACCGAGACCACCACAGAGAGCTGGGTCGATTCCGACATTCCGTTGCCAGGCAAGTCACCTTGGAGCCAGTTCAGCTCCGAGGAGGCCCCGCTTACCTCCCAGACAAAGGAAAGTTAGCAAAAATACTTAGTCAATATGCATAATGGGCACTCCTGAAATGTGCAAGCTTTTACATATCATATTTGAATCTTTGCATGTCAATAAGTTTATTGCCCTCCATTGGGGCCGGGGTGGGTGGGGAGGGGAGAAGGTAAGCGGGGTCTTCTTGGAGCTGAACTCATTCCAGGTGACATGTTTGCTAACGGAATGTCAGAATCGAGTCAACCCTTTCCGGTGGTCTGGGTCGTCCAGATCCTGAGCCAGGTGGGTCCCCAGTACTCCAGGGAACTCCTGGTGACAGCACAGCCAGTCTGGCTCACTGGTAGGACTTGGAAGGGCAGACCAGTTACTGGGGGCAGGGAGTCATCCCACTCAGCTCTTGATAACCCTGCAAACCAAAGCTCTAATACGTAAGTTAATCCTAGCTGGACAAGCAGCAGGACAGTGCTATTGGTAGCAAGCTGGGCAGTTTTAGCTGGTTAGACTCCAGCAATACCCCAACACATACTCTGGAGTCCCCAAACCTTGGCTCTTGCCAACCTATGCCTAACACTCTCAAGCACAAAGTGTCCCTTGAGGGAAAGAGTGTGCATTCCATTCCAGACCCAGAAACTTCCACATGAAGGTGGCATGCATGGAACTCTCAGTTTGGTTTGGATACTCTTACACATGGTGATGCGTTTCCGCAAATCCCAGTTGAGCCGGCTGACCAAAGCAAATCCCTACTGTTTTCAAGTGTGGCTCTGGTACCTTTACATTTATAAGAGGTCTACTTTCTTTGACTGATCAAGTATTTTATTTTGGCAGTGGGTGTGACCCAATTAATAGTATAGCAACTTTAAACACTGCAAAGATTATTGCTGCATCAGACTGCACGTGTGCCCTGCAGTTGTTGCAGAATTCCAGCAGAGGGTGCAGCTGTTGATGTCTCTGCAGCACATCTCTCTGCAGAGGATTTATATAACTGGACCCTGTTTTGTTTTTCTGGCACTGTAGAACTAGGCATAATATTTTCAACCACAATTTAAATAAGGAGAGGGGAGCAAATGATTTGTAAGCAAAATAAATCTTCACTGCATCTTCATTTTAAACTGAATGGAGACATTCTTGCAGGCCCCACCCCTCAACTGTGCTCCAGCTGCAGAATGATAGTAAAGTTGGCATTCATTACTAAATGGGCACAACACACTGTTCTTTTCATCAATGGGTATAAACCCTCAACTTCACAGGGGCCATGATTCTTGTAACATTCAGTGTAACATTGTGTAACTAGAAATTCAACTGTAATAACGACGAAATGTTAATAAATAGACGAGAAAAATCACTGAAGTACAAAAGAACATCCATTTATTGCAATGTAGATCGGCAGCTTTGGAAGGACGTCTCTCTGAACCATATTACTGCTTTTGGAAGCTGTGAATCATTTTGTAAACAGATTATTGCTTTGCACTTACTATAGCTGCTAGAGAACTCAGCACATCTCAAAGCTAAGGCATGGCAATACTTCCTAATGAAAAAGGCACATTTTAAATGCATACATATTGGTTGTTTTGGAATATGTTCTGAAAATGAATATGAAGCCATTCAGCAAGATTTCTGCAACATATTGCATGTACAAATTGAACTGCAATTATTGCCAAGTTCCAGCAGATGGGAGTAAAATACAAGTCTTAAAGCCAAAGCTGTTTAAGGAGCACATTTTCCTGCAGGTGGGATTATATAACTGGCGCCTGCTGCTATTTTGTCGTCATTGCCCAAGTATCATTACCCACAAGAGGGTTAGTCCGCAACCATTGGTAAATCTACCAACTAGCAGAGAATCTGATGAGGCAGGTAGCACCCAAAAGTCAGTAAATTTATTGATAGTCAGATATCGTCACCAGTTTAGATTTCAAATAAAATATAAACAAATGCCATTTGCAAAGATAATCCGTAACAGCTCATTTTAAATATGTTCGATGGCGCGGAGCTAGGACTTGGAGAAATCTTCAAAAAGTCAAGACTCACTTTAGAAGTGGTAATAAGGAATACAATTTAGCTGCAGGATAGTAAAAGCCAAGGCTTGAGGGCTCCAGAGTATGCATTGAGGTATCACTGGAGTTTAATCAGCCCAAAGCACACAGCCTATAGAGCAGTGGTAAGTTTCCTACTGTTTGTTCAGTTAGGCATGGGTGGCTTATGTCTCAATGCCAAGTGACTGGTCTTCTCTTGCATGTTTCTGCTAACAAGCCAGGCTGCATGCTCCATCACCAGCAGTATCCTGGTGTAGTGTGAACCTGCCTGCTATATCTTTCATATAACATATGTCAAGGAGAAGGAAACTTGCTTAGGAGCAAAGACAAGTGTAAATGTGGTAAAATGCAGGCTATACTTACTCCAGAAGGCTGACACCTCAGAATTCTGAGGGTCTGTTGTTCTGGTCTCAACTGGACATAAGATGAGCCAATCATCTTTCGTATGAGTAGACGTGTAATTGATAAATTATGAGCTGTGCCACTGACAAATAGCATGTCGTATTCACCCTTGGGCAAGGCCGAAGGAGATCACTTTCTATTGACCCTTGAAATTTTCTGTGGGCTGGACGGATGGCCATCTGGAAATAACATCTTTGACATCAATTGTGCCCAATCAGCCTCCTGACATACTGCTTGATTTACTTGAGGCATTGTTGCCACCTTGACTTTTTGAGAAATGTGATTAATT